AAATATTTTAGTTGGCTAGAGAATGTCCGAATATGCCCTCCATTAAATTTTCAAAGTGATCCGTTGTCTGGTTCACCAGAAACGTCTAATGTGCCATCCACCGTGAATCAGCTTGTATACAGACGGCTCAAAGACCAAAGAAGGCTCAGGATGTGGAGTGTACTCCAGATCACTAAGCCTAAGGATTAAGTGGAGAATGGGAAAACATATCAGCGTGGTCCAAACAGAACTGGCTGGTATCTCAATCCCCAGAAAAGGGGATTGAGATACCAGGGGATTTCTGACTGGCCATTGTCAACTAAGGAAACACCCCAACAATATGGGGCTAGTGGACACATCTCTATGCAGGATGTGTGAACAGGAAGATGAAACTATCAGACATGCCCTATGCGAGTGTCCGGAGTTATCGTCACTAAGAGAGTGTGTGTTTGGCGAGTATTGGCCTACACCTGCCTATATGAAGGAGATGTCTCCCAGAGACCTGTCCACCTTCCTGGAAAGGACAGGATGGACGATGACCTAGGAGGACAACTCCTCGGGAGGATGTACAATGGGTGCTGGGTGAGTGGCGGGGATCACTGTCTCTCTCTTATGGGTGTTGGACAGTCCCCCGGTGCAGACCACACGGCACTCACCCAGTAAAGTTATCGGTCAACCACCCAATCCCGCACCTGCGGGCAACAGGCGTTGGCCGGTTTAAAGCTAGATGTGTGGGAGAGGTGTCTCGCAAGAGCCCTCGGCGGTTACTCATCCAACGCTGGAAAGGTAACTTTCCTCGATCGCATCCAACGCCAGGGTGCGTCTGGGGGGCCTAACCGGCCCCCCAGGCCCCCTGGTGCGGTCGTAACTATGACTCTCTTAATGGATGCTCAATGGGTGCTGTACACTCGCCCTTCCTTCTCTACAGATCCCACAACGAGGTGTTCCTTGAATACTTTATGGATTTTCAAGCACTTCTTATCTAAAATTATCCATTTCATGAACAGAAAGGGTTTTTATTCGGAACTATAAAAGTAGTAACTCACCTCCGTCGCCATTGGAAGTCCGAGGATGAAGCCGCAGGCGCAACTGAAAAACGTGATGGTCGTCTCCCACGATTTCAAAACCTTGGCCTTGACAGCCATGATCCCGGTGATGACGCAATGCCAAATAGCGAGCTGCTGAGCTATTCCGAACATGATCAGAATGAAGTAGAAGAGAACGGCCCAAAACGGCGAGACCTGGTCGGCTCCCATCACTGCCAGGGTCGCTGGAACCAACTCGGTAGCTAGTCTGAGGACCTGCAGATGATAATGTTATGAATCGTTTATAGTTCCTATCGTATTTCAAGGCCAATGACATGGAATTAGCCGCGGTGGTAGTGCGCCCGACTCACGATCGGAAAACCGTGGATTCGATTCCCGCCTCGACCAGGTATTTTCTCGAGAGAATTTATCTGGTTGAAGCTGGGATGATTCTGCAACCGTGTTAGGAATCACACGTTAAAAGGTAAGACTTCGTTAGTCCTTAGCTCGCACAAGTTACTCAACTTCTGAGAGTTGTCGTTCGTATGGGGGCGATAGCTGATTAACGGAAAAACAGATTTTAAATGGACAGAGAGTATTTGTTGAACATTTTTTATGTTCTTTCATTCATTCGCATATACAAAATATTTCAAAAAAGGATCAGCAAGTTATGCAATGACAAATGAAAAATGAGAAATAAAACTTTCTATGTTTTTGCACCACTTGTGTTTGTATAGTAGAAGTAAACGATATTGTACACACTTGAAGTTGGCGGCACCCTCAAAGGTAAAAAAAACCAATACATAGAAATGAACCGTCTGCGAACTAGTCCACGTGGACTGTAGAATTGGCGTTTCATATTGGATGTTAATCAAGTTTCATGATTGGCTAAAGAGTCATAAAATAATTAGAAGTCATGTTACGGTGACCAATAGAATGTAGCAATGAGTACCGCCGTTGTGTCGTCAATGTTCAGTTCAGGAACTGATCGCGATTTGACTGTTGAAATTCGATATTGGTGAAGTTATAGTTACTTAAAATTGTTGTTATTTGTTTAAAATGTGGCGTCCTTNGCATGTGTGGGACATGCTTCAACGAAGAATTACTCCGCATATGGGGAACATTCACACAACGTTTCAATTGAGAGAGCTTTTAATCGCTGAATGGGCAAATGTACCTCAACAAGACATTGACAATCTCATTTTGTCGATACACGATAGATGTAGGGCCGTAATAAACCAGCGTGGAGGCCATACTTTGTACTGATTCCAATTTTTTTTGTATTATGATTTTTTTTCGGGGTGCCAAAGAAGAGCCATATTTTTTTTAGTTTTGCTTATATACGCACTCAGTATTTTTGACCATTGAATAAATTTTGTTGTAAGTTACATTCACCCGTCAATGACACCCGTCAATGTGATATTACCTTGCAAACTTGAGTTCTCAGTCTTTCCCAAAATATGTTCGACTTCCATATCAGAGGAGCCTTTGTTTAATTTGATTTGAATATACAGGTGTACATTTTAATTGTTTACTGTTTATGCCATTACTTAACGACCAAACTCCACATAATACGTCATTATCAATTTGCCCATTAAATTTCCCTGCTTTATAAATGGTTGCTACTTGTATTTCCACAAAGATGGGTGGCACCCCTTCAGTGTTGTTCTGAATTTGGTGAAAAGAATTTTTTACGAACTTAAGTGCTTTCCGACCAAAAGCTGCCGTTCGCAAATGAATGTGCAAAATATTATTGAATTATCACTAATTTGCTGCTACACTGTATGTTCTAACAATCTGTGTATATATGTATGTTAAAATATGTTTTTTCCGTTAACCAGCTGTCGCACCCTTACGAATGACAACCCTCAGAATTCGAAACGTGTGCAAGCTAAGGACTAACGAGGTCTCACCTTTTAACGTGTGATTCCTAACATGAATAGCAGATGAAAATCGATCGTTCAGCCTGCGGCTTGAACCACCCGCTCACACATCGGTCGATTGAGTGAGTGAACAAAGCACCCACATCGGTCGAACCGACCGGCTACCGACCAACCTTCATTACAATACTTTAAAGAGA